ATGAGGGAACTCACTTCGCAGCCAAAGAAGTGTGACAGTGGGCCCATGGTCATGGAATCCATTGGTCTTACCATGTTCCCCACCATCCTGAAGCAGCTGGCTTGATAGAACAATGGAATGGTCTCTTAAAGACATAGTTACAGTGCCAATTAGCTAGCAATAGCCTGGAGAGCTGGGGCAGGGTCCTCCAGAAGGCAGTATATACTTTGAATCAGCGTCCAATATATGGTACAGTTTCTCCTATAGCCAGGATTCATGGGTACAGGAATCAAGGGGTGGAAGTGGGAATGATTCCACTCACTATCACCCCTGGTGACCCACCACGAAAATTTTTGCTTCCTGTACCCTCGACTTTGCACTCTACTGGCTTGGATATTTTGGTTCCAGAGGAAGGAGTGCTTCTTCCAGGAAAGAACAAACATTCCATTGAACTGGAAGCTAAGACTTCCCCCTGGACACTCTGAGCTTCTGATGCCCTTAAGTCAACAGGCTAAGAAAGGAGTAACAGTATTAGGAGGGGTGACTGACCCAGACTACCAGGGGGAAATTGGACTGGTTCTCCACAATGGAGGTAATGAAGATTATATCTGGAAGGCAGGAGATTCCTTAGGGTGGCTTTTGGTGTTACCATGTCCTGTGATTAAGGTCAATGGGAAACTGTAACAACCCAATCCAGACATTATGACAAATGGCCCAGACCCTTCAGGGATGAAAGTATGGGTCACTCCTCCAAGGAAAGAGCCAAGACCTGCAGAGGTGCTTGCTGATGGTGGAGGAAATACAGATTGGGTAGTAGAGGAAGGTAGTTACAAATACCAACTTAGGCCATGTGACCAGTTGCAGAAACATGTATTGTAATTGACATGAATATTCTTGTCCTATTTGGCTAAGAAGAGGCTTGTGCATGTATACACATATGTTAAGCAGATACTTGAGTTATTCTTTTTTGACTGTGTAATTGAGATGTGTTAAGTGGTTAAGTGTTGTGAACCTATATGATTATATTGGGTTATGAGACACTAAAGGACTAAGCATTCCTCGAAGACTTTATCACCTACTCTAAGATATATAATGCATTGGTCATCATATGATGGGATAGTTATATCATGTTAGGTGAAATTATGACCTCAGCATTGTATGACAGAGAGATGCTATTGGGTGTCAAGCTGACAAGGGGTGGACTTGTGATGGCTAATCCTGAGTGTCAACTTGACTGGATCTGGGATTAACTGAAATGAGAGACATCTTCTTGACTGGATCATTTGAAGCTGGAAAATGTGGATGCTACCTTCTGATGGCAGCCCATATAAAAGGCCATGGCAGAGAACGCCTGGCTTCTTGCTGCTTGCCTTCTCTCTCGCTGGTGAGTTCATCTTGCTGCTGTAGACTGAAGACTAGCTGATCTTTTGGAATTCATCAGACCTTCAGCGCCAGATTGGGACTACTGAGACATCCAGCCTTATGGACTGAGCGACTACAGATTCTCAGCCTCTCTAGTGTGGTGCAGCCATTGTTGGACTACTCAGACTCTATCCTGTGAGCTAACCTGATAAATCTCTATGCATATATATTCATTCTACTGGTTCTGTTTCTTTGGAAAACCCTGACTAATACAGACCATTGAGGAAGAGGGGGCAGAAAGATTATAAGAGCCAGGGAGGGGGTGTATGATCACACAGAAATAGTCATACAGGCTCCTGGGACCCTGGTCATATGAACCTACAGCAATGGTGTCAGCATGCACAAGACCCATGCGAACTCAAGCAGACAAAAACCCAGCATAGAACTGTGGAAATGCACAGCAGGCCCCAGTCTTAGTCAAAGAATTATTCGAAGCTGATTACTGCTGGGTAAGGAAGAGCTGATCTTCAAGTGAAGAACTCTAGATAGGCTAACTAGAACCCAGTGCATGAATGTGCACTGAGGGACATCTGGGGACTTGACATGATAGACCTTAACACAAATGACAGAATGTATGAATTCCAGTGTGGGGAAGGGGAAGTTATGGGTGGGTGTCAATGGGGAAGGGAGTATAAAGTTGATCAAGATGTTCTGTATGAGCCAGGCTTGATGACTCATGCCTTTTATCCCAGTACTTGGGAGGCAGAGGCAGGCAGATCTGTGAGTTCAAAGCTAGCCTGGTCTACTTAGCGAGTTCCAGGTCAGGTGGGGCTATAGGGAGACCCTGTCTCAAAAAGACCAAAAAAAACACAAAAAACAAAAAAAAACCATTTTATTGGAAATGGACAGAGCCTACTAGTTTCAAATGTACTATTTCAATAACTTTTAAAGTTGAAGTTAGATGCTGACAGAGCTTTGATGGACTAACAACTCATACAGTCCTTCATCTACCTTCTCATGTCCTTAATTATGTACTAAAAATCCACATAGAAATTTTCTTAATTAGGTAGAATTAAAATACTATGAAAGCTAAAAAGTTGAGAAACATTTCCTCCTCCTACCTCTCCTGTGTTAGGGTTAGAGCAGAGAATCTTAGCATCTTTTCCACAACTCAGTAACAATTCAGGGTCTGCCATGCTCCAAGCAATTGCCAAAATCCCCCTATAAAAAAAAAAAAATGGAGAAAGAGGGGAATGAATGAGAACAAAATATAATGACACAGAGGTATGGCAATACCATAATGAAACCCAGTTCTTTGTATACGAACCTTAAAGGTTAACTTAAAAAGAAAAATACACAAATGAGGGAAAAAAACACAAAGAGAAAGGAAAATTCAATTTTGAAGAAACCAAGCTTCAAATTATTTCTGTGTAGCTTTGGAGACTCACATGCTGCTAATAGAGTATAATTTATTATAATCTTTGTAGAAGGCAATTTATAATATACATACTTAAATGATTACAAAGACACGGAATGTTTAATATAGAACACAGTGCATAACAGTATGAAATGAAAACAAATGCCCAACAACATGGACTACAGAATAAATTACAGACTGTTTTGTGATGAGCAAACGCACAGATAAAAATTATGTTGACAAGGGGGCTGGAGAGATGGCTCAGCCATTAAGAGCACTGACTGCTCTTGCATAGGATCCAGGTTCAATTCCCAGCACCCACAAGGCAGCTATCAACCATCCGTAACTCCAGTTCCAGGGGCTCTGACAGCCTCTTCTCACCTCTGCGAACACTGCTCAACATGGGTGCACTTACACATATGCAGGCAAAACATTCACACACATAAAAATAAAAAATAAAATAATATTTAAAAAAATATGTTGAAGAGGGAGGAAGTGTAGCTCAGTGGATCAGTACTTGTCAGTATGCACAAAACCCTGAGTCTGATCTAAAGCACCAAGGAAAAAGGGTGTTTCATAGTTAAGAAAAAAGATTATCTAATTACATATAAATTATTCTATTTGTATTTATTATGTACGCATTATATATATTTACATACAAATAAGATATGCATAAAAACACTTTACTTGTAGAGAGCAGGAAGAGTAACCTTTTCCTTTGGTTTACATTTTCTAGCTTCTGAAAACTCAAGAGAATGGTTTGCGCATGCATGTGCATGTATCTGTGTGTTGTTTTTGAATTGGGACTAAATCTTGGGCCTCATGCATGGGAGGCAATTGCTCTGCCACTAAGCTACATCTGCAGTCCTATTGTCTTGCTTCTATTATCAGAGAAGTATTCTTTTTTATTGAGTGTAACTAAAAGAAAAATAATTAAAAATATTTTAAAAAAATATCTAAACTCTAAATTCCAGAAACATAGTCTTATAGTTCATTGTGCTAGAGTAATTTTGAATGGCTTTATCCTCAGTATAACAAATGTAATACTTGGGCTGGAGAGATGGTTCGGTCAGTAAACTGCTCACTACATAAGTATGAGGACCTGGGTTCAAATCTACAGCATCCACATACAAGTGCCAGGTACAGGGCCAGTGAGATGGCTCAGTGGTAAAGGCACCTGACACCAAGACCGATGATTTAAGTTTGATCCTGGGTCCCATATGGTAGATGGAGAGAACAGGTTGTCCTCTGACCTCCATGCACACACTGTGACATGCATGCACCCACACGCACAAACCAGGAAAAAAAGCCAGGCACAGCAGTATGCATCTGTAATGCCAGTGCTAGTGCTAGGGAGGTAGAAAAAGGCAGATCTGTGGAACTGACAGCCAGCTATATAGGTTCAGTGAGAGAACTTGTCTCACCAATAAGGTTGAGCAGCTGAGGAAGGCACCCACTATCAACTTTTGACGTCTACATACACGCACACATACATGTGTACACACACACACACACATGAAATTATTACAGTAAAAGTTCTGAAACTTCAGATTAGCACATACACACACAAATAAAAATTTCCTGTACTCTATAATCTAGAGATTATATTCATCTTTTCTATATTCATGCCTGTATTACTTGAGATCCTAAGAGAAACCAGACTTATATTTGAGTATTTCTTTTTTTTAAAAAAGTACACAAATAGGGATCTGAAGATGTAGCTCAACGGTAGAACACTTGCCCAGCATGTACAAGGCCCTGGGTTTGATCCCTAGCACAATGAAAAAAAAAAAAAAAGCAAAAAAGCACAGAAATTATATTGCTCTATTTTCTTAAAAGCATTACAGTTTTCTTTTTTATCTTTCTTTCTTTTTTTTTTTGTCTTATTGAGATAGAATCTCCTTGTAGCCTTAACTGGCCTAGAACTTGCTATGTAAACCAGGCTGGCCTTGAACTCACAGAGATTTGCCTGCCCCTGCCCCTGCCTCTGCCTCCCAAGGGCTGGGATTAAAGGTATGTGCCACCACACTGGGCCTGGTTTTTTTTTTTTTTTTTTTAAATATTTTTTAAAGTTTTATGTGCATGAGTGTTTTGTCTGCGTGTATATAAGTGCAATCATGTCATGTAATGCCTACAGATGCCAGAAGAGGGCACTGGATCCCCTGGAACTGGAGTTACATATGGTTGTTAGCTGCCATGTGGGTGTTGGGAATCAACCCTAGTCCTCTGCAAGAGCTAAGTCCTTTTCTCTAGCCCCTGGTTTTCATTTATTGAGACAGGGCATCATGCAGCCCAAGCCAGTCTTATACCTACTATGTAGCTAAGGATGGCCTTGAGCTCCTGATCCTCCTTGTCTCTGCCTGACAAGAGCTGGGATTATGGATGCAGGCCTCCATGCCAGACTTAATTATTTGAAATAATTGGTAGACAAACCTTTAATAAAGGATTTGTGTTAGCAGTATATGTAATCTGTCTACCATTTTGGTGGGGAAAACTCAGATGCCTATTATTTAAAAATAAGAAGTACATATGTTTTAGAACAACAATATGAATAAATAAGCTTCGTGGAACAGTGGAATGATACCTGGCATGGTTTTCCAGAACACGCAGAGGAGAGGAGGCAAATCGAAGATCCCACATCTGGATCACTGGTAATCTATCATCCTCAGAGGCAAGGACCATCTGAGTGGCCACATCAGGATGCCATGCCAGTCCAGAGCAATGCATCTGTAGACAGGTAAGGCTCACATTTTAGCAATCATATTACTTTATTAAAAACTGAAATGAAACTTGAGAAGTATGTCTTTACTATAGCAAACAATAAAAAGCAGAAGCTCAGGCTTAGTCTTTTTCAAAATTCCAAAACTTAAAAACTATTACATTTTATTGAACAATCTTAAGCAGTAGTCTTAAAACTACAGTGTTTGAATATTTTCTAATCATCTGGCTATTTGATTCACATAAAACAAATCTGAGTCTAAATAATTCTATGCCTCAAATGAGTTTTACTTTCAATACTCTAACTAGAGAAAAAGTTTTCCACAAATTTAAAATATACTTTCTAAAACCTGAAAATATATATAAATTTTAATTTTTAAAAACTTCAGATTTTTTCCTCAGAAAAAAATATAAAAGAAACCTGTCTTAAGCAACAACTACCATCTAAATTTTCATGAGACAATTGACATTATTGAGAATTACTCAGAAGTTCAGAGTCTAATAAACATTCTACAGGACTACTAAAATGGTTTTTGTATGCTTTATTCCATTGAAATCTGTTTTAGATTTTCTGATCCACTTACAATACTCTGAAGGAACACTCTTCTAAGTGGTTTGTGTTTTTAAATGATACACATATTTAGGCAAACTCATTTTAGAAAACCTCTAACCAGGGTAGGCAAGATGGCTCAGCAGATAAAGGTACTTGCTGCCAAGCCTAAAGACCTGAGTTTAATGTTCAGGACCCACATGGTAGAAGGACAGAACTAACTCTCGAAAAGTTATCTTCTGTCTTCCACACAAGTGCACCATGGTGCATGCATGCCCTCACACAGGCACACACACACAAAATGTAATTAAGAAAAAAAAAATTAAGTTAAAAAAAAAAAAAAAATCAGGCTTAAAAGATGGCTGAGTGGGTAAAGGCACCTGCTTCCAAGCCTGTCAACCTGGGTTTGAGCTCCAGACCCACAGGATGGAGAATATCAACTCCCACAAGTAATCCTCTGACTCCACTCACCACACAGGCCTACACGTAAACAGATAGTAAAATGAAAATATCAATAAAACTCTCTAACCAATATAATTAAAAACTAAATTGTTTTATAATACCTAACAACTTTTTAAACTTATAACATTAAAAACTTAATCTATTATATAACAGCATTTACTGACTAGTGGAAGAAAGATAACAGCTCATTTTAGCAATACTTTGAAGAGAAATTCAGGAGTTTGGAAAAAAGAAGTGTACAATCACAAAATTTCTAGCACAGAATATTAAAAATCCCAGGAAAATCAAAAGAATAATGAAAAAGTTTCAATTTTTTTAATATAGTTAACCAAGCAAAATAGGAGTATATCACAGAATAAGCCCTTAGGTTAATCAATTTCTCTAGCATTAATAATACGCAATATGGGCTGTCAAGGCAGCTCAGTAGATAAAGGCATGACCACAGAAATTCAAATGAAGTAAAGAGACAAAGACTCTCACAAGTTATCCTCTGACCTACACATGCAAACCATGGCACACATGCCCCACACAGATACACAAAATAAATAAAATGTAGTCATTTTAATAAAAAAAAAATATCCAACATGATTATTGGGAATTTTACTATTTCCTCTAAGGGGGACGGGGCATTCATTCTAGTATAAATAATGCATAAGAAGATACAAATTTGATTTTATAAAAATCTGATTTCTTGACAACAGGATACTTACAGAAGAAATATGATATATTTATCACAAGTCATTATATGCTTACCCTGTTACTATGATCACTGACTTTGATGATTGGTTCGTTTTTTCTAAGATCCCACACAGTGGCCCGGCCACTGGGACTGGCAGATGCTAAAATATGCTGAACTTGTCTATTCCACGCAATGCAGCTGATATCTTCTGGTGGCTAATAAGGAATAAACTGTTAAAAAAAAAACATTTCTCTACTATCATCAAATTTAATTATAAATTCTGATCCTTCATTTATCTTTTTTAAAAAAAAAAAAAAAAAGACATGGTCTCACTATATAGTCATGGCTGGCCTAGAACTTACTTTGTAGACCAAGCTGGTCTCAAACTCACAGAGATCCTTGTGCCTCTACCTTCAGAGTGCTGGGATTAAGCATGTGTGCCATCATGCATGGCTGATCTTTCATTTAAAAAAAAATGGATTATGGGGGCTGAGCATGGTGGCACATATCTTTAATTCCAGCAGGAGGCAGAGGCAGGTAGATCTCTGTGAGTTCAAGGTCAGCCTAGTCTACACAGTAAGTTCCAGGCCAGCTGGGGCTACAGGGAGACTCTGTCTCAAAAGGACCAAAAAATAAATTAATTAAATGGATTAACTTAAAAATTAGATCTATCAAAATACCAAAGGGGGGAAAAAAAGGAAAAGGAAAAAAAATAAGAAAAAAAAATTAGCTCTCTCCATTCCACAAACTTCCTTACTATTCATATATACTCAACATGTACAATACAGTTTAAAGCACAGATATACACCACTTCAAATATTTTATATTGCTTAATACTATCTCATTCAACAAGCATTCATTGACTTCCTGCTATAAACTAAGGCTTTTCTTTATTTGGAGTTGTTGCAAGGTAGATCACAAACTACAAAATGGATGTTGGTGAATCTGACCTACAATTAGGCAGGATGAAAATGACAGCCTGGACTACCAGGAAAAAGCTTTTATGTACAGTAGACAACATGCTATCATTTTGCTACCTTTCAGGATTTCACAATGGTAGGGCCAGTTACAACGGCCACTAAAAATGAGGACCTATACAACAAATAAACTCAAAAGAGCAGGACAAGATGCTCTTACTCAACTTACTTGAAATACACAGAAAATACAAATTCTTTAAAATAGCAAATACGCATGAAACAAAGAACAAAAATATTACTCTAAGGAAATTACTGAACCTTTTTTTTTCTTTGAGACACAGGGTCTCACTGTGTAGCACCGACTGGCCTAGAATTCGCTACGTAGACCATGCTGGCTTGAAACTCACAAAGATCCACCAGCCTCTGCCTCCTGGGTGCAAGGATTAATGCCTGGTCAGAACATATCTATTTTGTACACTACTCTATGCCTAAAACAACAAATACTGGCAGGTGGTAGGTGCAGAATAAATCTTAACTGCTGAAGAAATCACTGATACTTTGAAGAAACTTTATTTTAGATAGGATCTCATTCTATATTCCCAGCTGGCCTCAAACTCACAGTAATTCTCCTGCCTCAGCCTCCCATGAGAGACATATTTATTAATATTCTACTATGCCACAGGAAAACCAATGGCATTTAAGCACTGAATTGCAGGAGAGAAAACTATAAAATCAACATAAATTAACACAAACTACTTTGGATTCCTTTGATTACATTGATCAAAAATTAACATAATACCTGTGTTTTGGCTCCTGGTGTCATTGGAGTTGCAAAATTGTTTAGATCCCAAATGTAGATTTCAGATTCATTAGCACCAGATGCCACCAGATTGTTCTACAATAAGAAACAATAAATAGCAAATAACTGAAAACTCAGAATAGCTCAGCTATGAACTAAAAGGCTGATTTTAACACATACAATTTTTCTACTGATTAAAAATCAAAAGATGGCCAGGCGTGGTGGTAATTGTTGATACTCCTCTCCACCTCTTCTTTTTTATCTTTTATATTTTATTATTTTTATTTTATGTGTATGAGAGTATTGCCTGCATGTGTATAAGTACACCCGTGTTGTACCTGGCTAACAAGTGCCTTTAATCCCAGCACTCAGGAGGAAGAGGCAGGCGGATCTCTGTGAGTTCAAGGCCAGCCTGGTCTACATAGTGAGTTCCAGGCCAGTTGGGGCTACAGGGAAACCCTGTCTCAAAAAGACCAAAAAAAAAAATGTAGGCATTACTTCCTACATAATTATGTGCAATTCAATTCTTTACTTCCTACATAATTATGTGCAATTCAATTCTTCACCAAAGCTAATGTTTTTTAAATTTTTTTAATTATTTTTATTTTATGTGTATGAGTGCATTGCCTTCCAAAGCTAACGTTTTTAAAGAAACATATAAAGCTATAGTAATTTATGCATACTGACAATGAAACTAATTTTAATAAGACATTACAAAAAAGAACAGTTATGTGCTTAAATTGTTAAGCATCAATCATGTAGGGATTTATTGCTTTTGGTTTCAAATTTTTGGAAGGAAATCTATGGGAGACAAAAAAAGGTCACCAATGGCGGCTGGACAGATGGGACAGCAGTTAAGAGCTGCTCTTATAAAGGACCTGGTTTGGTTCCCAGAACAATTATCACAGCTCACAATCATCTGTAACTCCAGTTCCAGGTGATCCAACATCCTCTTCTGGCCTCTGTGGGGACTGCACACTACATACATGCAGCCAAAACATTCATACGCTTGGGGCTACAGGGAGACACTGTCTCAAGAAGTCCAAAAAAACCCCATTCATTCGCATAAATTTTTAAAAGTTTCTGGGCCTAGAGAGATGACGCAGAGATTAAGAGCACTGGCTGCTCTTGCAGAAGACCCAGGCTTGACTCCCAGGACCCACATGACGGCTAACAACTGCCTGTAACTCTAGCTCTAGGGAATCCAATGCCCTCTTGACTTCTGCGAGCAAGGCACGACACGGGTGTACTTATACACATGCAGGCAATACTCTCATACACATAAAATATAAAAGATAAAAAAGAAGAGGTGGGGAGGAGTATCATCAATTACTGTTTTCAGAAATCTCTAAATTCTTAAATTATTACTTCTTTCTCAGGATACTTCAGAGCCGGCATCCAGAGCTGGAACATGACGGAACTAGTAAACCTTGGCTTCTGTGGTCCCATATTTCTAGTTCATGTTTACTCAATCTTGTTCCAGGGAGTAATATTTCTAGGTTATTTCTGCTACAAACCTACTGGGTCAAAAAGATCCTAAAGCAGGGGGCTGGAGAGATGGCTCAAGCAGTTAAGAGTACTTACTGCTCTTCTAGAGGACCTGGGCTCCATTTCCAGCACCCATAGGGTGGCTAACACCTGTCCTCCCCTCTATTCTGCTGGTACATATGTAGTACATTTATATGCATGCTGGAAAAACACTCATAAAATAAAACCTTAAAAATAAGGTCTTAAATAAAGGTCCTAAAATTCTGATATCAAGTACAAAAATATAATATACTTCATACACTGAACTTCTTCTGCTACTTTTTATGATCATACATTTTAGCCACAGAAACTATTTGCTGATTTAACAAACTTGTTTGTTTTTGAGATAGGGTATTGCTATCTAGTATCTACAGAGACCAGGCTAGCCTTTTTTATTTGGGGGGGGGCAGGGGGAGACAAGGTCTGACTATAGAACAAACTTTAAAAGTTTCCAAACTCTAGGGCTCCTAATATCTACGGATGTACAGGGATATGGCATGACATCTTGAGACTTCTAGATATAAACCTATTAGCTAGAGTACCCTAATTTCAACTCTGCTTGGAGGAATTTTGTTTATACATGTTTTTGTGAGTGCACACATGTGTGTGTACAAGTGCACGTGTAGCTATGTACGTGTGTGTATGGATGCCGGAGGACAAGTACAGATGTCATCTTCAAAAACACTGCCCATCTCTTTGAGTCAGGGCATCTCATTGACTTGGAAATCACCCAATAGGCTAGATTAACTGGCCAGCAAGCCTCAGGGATTCTTGTGTCTCTAACTCCACATTACTGGGATTTAAGGTGCCTGCCACCACACCCAGCATTTTTACAGGAGTTTTGGGCTTGAGCTCAGGTCTCATGCCTACAAGGCAGGCACTTACCAACTGAGCTATCTCCTCAGCCCCTTTGTTCTTTTTTTGAGACAGTGTCTCAAGTATCATAGCCTGTCCTTGAACTCACCATGCTTAAAACAATAAAACATTTTACCATGCTCAAAACAATATGCTTACTCATGTTCTGGTACAGGAATGTGTCTTTAACTTTCATTTCTAATACTGAAGCCTAGTGGATTCATAAGCTTACTCCAAATGAACATATTTTAAGAATCATGAATGAATGTCAAAGTCAAACCTGGAAAATGTTTACATCCAAGGCCCTCACTGGCCCAGTATGCTTGTCCTTCTGGGCAATTACAACTTCCTTGTCTCCGGCTATAATTTTAGAAGGATCATAAAGAATAATGTTTCCATTTTCTCCACCTGCAATAAGAACTCCAGAAACATCTCCTTTGGAATCCATCTTATGAGGGCCCCAGATCAACTTGTGGTACCTTAGGAGAAAATAAATAAAATAACTTGTTCTTGAGGACAAGTGTCAGAAGAATTAAAATTGTACTTTTAATTGTATTTTACTATATACTACAAATCACTGTTTCTCTTTGACTCCTGCAACTGTATACCTAGCAAAATAGCATTTTAAATTATTACTTATATATGTCTATTTGATTTCATAATCTCTAAAGACTCTGTAGGGTAATGTAGTATAGAAAGTTTACTTGTATGTCAAAAGATATGAGCTTAAAAATAATTTTATCATTTAAAATGTGCAACCCTGGACAAATTCCTTAGTGTCCCTGATGCATTTGTTCACCTTTAAAAGAGCTAATCAAGTACTATTCTTAGGAAATAATACATTCTTCTTGACTACAGACTTGTCCACTAATGAGGAGCCTATGGAATGGTAAAAGCATTAAGGGAGTCATCTGAACTTTCTAAGATGATGTCAAAATTATGGCTATTTCTGGGAGAGAATAAACAATCATGGTCTCACATGGAGATACAATACAAAAGTAGCATGGAGGCATATGATGAGACAGATGGTTGTAAGAAAAACTGCTAGTCAAAAAAGCATCTTGGTTTCTCCTGAAAGCGTAAAAGCTCTGCAAAGTGGAACTCTATGATTCCAGCTACATTCTCCTAGCTAAGGTATCATCTCAAAATCTGTAAAAACAGACATACAGTTTGCTTCATTACTCAAATATGTGTCCTTTGTATTAAAATGCAGGATAAGTGGGCCAGTGAGATGGCTCAGTAAGTAAAGGCACTTGCTGCCAAGTCTGACGACCTGAGCTCAATATGAGGACCCACATGGTACAAGAAGAGAACCAACTTCCGCCAAGTTGTCCCTTGTAGCAGATGTGGGCCCCCTCTGACTCCCACAAAATAAGTAAATGTTAAAAAACAAAATTTTTAAACCAATAGAGTGTAAGTACTTGAAAGGCTGATTCAAATAGCACACTAGAAATCACGTCAACAAAACTCATTATGAAATATAGATAAGTACAAAGAAGAAAATAAAAATAACCTGCTCTTCACTGATAACCCCTAGTAGCAGCACAGGGATGAATCTAGGCACTCCTTTCGCTATTCATACCCACACTTTACAAATACAAGACAAAGGGGGCAGGAAAAAGCAACTCAATTGTCCTAAAACAGGATACTAGGAACTACAGTATCTTATTCTTATCCTACATATAATGCCAACAAAACAGTCAATGGAATGTACAAAGACTTCACTTCCATAAGAATGCATCTAGAGGTTTTTCAACAAATATTTCATGTCAGTAGCAGTATTCTCTGAAGTTTCTACAGACAAAAGCAGGCATCAGGGCTAAGGATATACCTCAGTTGGCAGAATGCTTGCATAGCAAGCATCAAGTTCTGGGTTCAATATATACCTTTATTTATATATATA